GTTACCCCGAAGTGTGTGTTGGGGGAGCGTGGGGCCACAGTAAATGGCAAATGTAGAGGAAATAGACGGAAATCAACAGCACCGGCTGCCGGCAAAGCCCGCTAACCCTAACCCTGGTGTGTCAGGAAGGTTCCTGGGTTCCAAGACGCGAGGGAACGTTCTGGTCTTGAAACTTGGGATTCATGTTGTATTCCTCCAGGAAGGGAGGCTGGGAGGGAGAAAAGTGTGAAAACAGATGGAAATGTAATTTTTTAATGGCAGCAGCAGATGGCAAAAAGACACAAGAGTGTATTCACACCATGTCGGAGCCATTTGAGAACGCCAGGCCCAGCCATAATGTGCACGACGGGGCTGTCATGATGGCTCCCCGGCCAAACCCAGGAGCTGCAGGCAGGAACATGCGGGTCCCCCAAGGAGGCGTGGGACGAGCTGCCAGGCGGCGGTGCAGAGCTACAGGTAGATGGGGAAATACCTGTGGCCACCCGGGTTGGATCTGGGAGCTTCCCTGTGCCTGGCTTCTCTGGGCAGAATGTAGATGGTCCATGGGCTCTAGATTCAGACAGACCCCGCTCTTTGCTGCCTTGGCTGCTCCGCTCACCTGCCTCCAGGTGAGTCTCCTGTGGCTACACTGCATCCTACCCTCGACTTCGTGCACCCTAAGTTCCCTTCTAGTGTATATCTAGGCTGGTCATGGTGGTATGCACCTGGAATCCCATGGCTTTGGGAGGCTGAGGCAGGAGGATGGCCTCAGCCCAGGAGTTCGAGGCTGCAGTGAGCTGTTACCATGCCACTGGATTCCACCTGGGGAACACAGCAAGACCTGGCCTCTAAAATAAAATAGCCTGGGTGTGTTGGCTCACACCTATAATCACAAAACTTTGGGAGGCTGGGGTGGAAGGATTCCTTGAACCCAGGAGTTTGAGACCAGCAAGGGCAACAAAATGAGACTTTGTCTCTATAAAAAAAACTCAAAAAATGAGCTGGGTATGGTGGTGCATGCCTTTGGTCTGAGCTACACAGAAGGCTGAGGCAGGAGGATCACTTGACCCCAAGAGGTCAAGGCTGCAGTGAGCTGTGATTGCACCACTGCACTCCAGCCTCGGTGGCAAGGTGAGATCTGTCTCAAAAATATTAATAAGATAGGCCGGGCGCAGTGGCTCATGCCTGTGATTCCAGCACTTTGGGAGGCTGAGGTGGCCAGATCACGAGGTCAGGAGATCGAGACCATTCTGGCTAACACAGTGAAACCCCGTCTCTACTAAAATACAAAAACTTAGCCAGGCGTGGTGGTACACACCTGTAGTCCCAGCTACTCGGGAGGCTGAAGCAAGAGAATTGCTTGAACCTGGGAGGCGGAGGTTGCAGTGAGCCAAGACTGAGCCACTGCACTCCAGCCCGGCGACAGAGAAAGACTGTGTGTCAAAAAAATAGATAATAAATAAATAAATGAGATGGCTTGCCTTAAAGCGCTTCCCACTGCCTCAGGATCAAGTCCAATTTCTTCAAAGTACCTTGCAAGAGCAGGCCCCTTCAGGCTGGCTCCCACCCGTCTTTCTGGCTTCACCAGTCGCCCCTGCCCTGGTGGGAAGCTGCGCTCAGCGGGAGAGGACAGTCTTGCAGGGCTGGTGAGAAACAAGCTCTGCTGCTGCCTGGAGGACGAGCCACTGTCCGCTGAGCAAGGCTGTGCCAGACACCCCTGAGGACTCCACCGGTGTCAGTCCCTTTAAGCCTTGCAACAGCTCCAGGAGAAGGTGATGCTCAAAATAGGCCACAGGGGAAGTGACAGGGACCCCGTCCATCCGAGCTACTGCTGCTGGCCAGAAACACTGGGCCATGGGCACCAGGTGGAATCGGCCTGCAGGAGGCCACACGGTCACCCGCTCCCAGACCGAGGCATAGTGAATGTCCAAGTCCCCCAGCAGGAGCCACAGAGGTGTCCACTCTCCGGCCCCCAGCGCACAGTGGACGCCCCGCTTGCAAAGTCATCCCTTTCCGTTCTCATGGTCCTGCTCCGTGCCACAGGCCTGCATTCTTTCAGTGGAGGCAGGGCAGGAAGATGGGCTCCTGAAGACTTGTTTTCCATTCTGTGTGTCTTTTTGGCTGTGTCACTGTTTTTCTAGCCCCCTCCTCCACTCAGTAATGACACCACCACCTGCTAGCTACTGCTTTCCCCTAAGCTCCCCCAGGAGGCCCCGGGAGACAGGCTGAGCTCACTTTATGCCACAGCAGTGGCTCCAAAGCTTGGCTGAGGAATCTGGAAAATTGTTTCCCCAGCCCTGCCCCTATAGGTGCCCATTTCTTTGGTCCAGGAGGAGGCCTGGATGTGGGGCAGGTGGTTCTACTGTACAGGTGGAGCTGGGAGGGTTTTTTTCTTTTTTTCTTTTCTTTGAGACGGAGTTTCCCTCTTGTTGCCCAGGCTGGAGTACAATGGGTTGATCTTGGCTTACTGCAGTCTCTGCCTCTCAGGTTCAAGTGATTCTCCAGCCTCAGCCTTCCGAATAGCTGAGATTACAGGCATGCGCCATCACACTTGGCTAATTTTGTATTTTAGTAAAGATGGGGTTTCTCCATGTTGGTCAGGCTGGTATTGAACTCCTGACTTCAGGTGATCTACCCACCTGGGCCTCCCAAAGTGCTGGGATTACAGGTATAAGCCACTGTACCCAGCCAGTATTTTATTTACTCAGTTTTTTGAGATAGAGCCTTGCTCTGTCTCCCAGGCTTGAGTGCAGTGGTGCAAACTTAGCTCACTCCAACCTCTACCTCCCAGGTTTAAATGATCCTCCTGCCTCAGCCTCCCAAGTAACTGGGATTACAGGCACCCACCATCATGCCTGGCTAATTTTGTATTTTGGTAGAGATGGAGTTTCACCGTGTTGGCCAGGCTGGTCTCGGACTCCTGACCTCAAATGATCCGCCCACCTCAGCCTCCCAAAGTGTTGGGAGCCACTGCGCCCGGCCACTCCCATGTTTATTACAGTACTATTCACAATAGTCAAGATATGGAATCAACCTAAATTCCCCTCAAAAAATGAATGGATTAAAAATGAGGTACAAGCCAGGTGCAGTGGCTCACGCCTATAATCCCAGCACTCTGGGAAGCCAAGACAGATGGATCACCTGAGGTCAGGAGTCTGAGACCAGCCTAGACAACATGGTGAAACTCTGTCTCTACAAAAAATACAAAAAAAAAAAAAAAAAAAAAAAAAAAAAAAGCTAGGTGTGATGGCACATGCCTGTAATCCTGGCTACTTTGGAGGCTGAGGCAGGAGAATCACTTGAACCTGGCGGTTAGAGGTTGCAGTGAGCCAAGATTGCGTCACTGCACTCCAGTCTGGGCAACGAGAGCGAGACTCTGTCTCAAAATGAACAAAAAAAGAAAACATTTCCCCAATAAATTTAATAATTTATTTTATGACAATAAATCAAAACCTAGAGAAGCTGGCACACATATCTGCAACTGCCAGAGGGACTTTCTATTTTGGGAGGGACCAGGTGGCCCACAGCTGCCCCTCAGCCGCAAACACTGCAGGCTCCTCTTCCTACTTCATTTTGAAGATGAAGAGACAGGGGTTCAGAGTGGTCACTTGCCCTTGGTCACACAGCAGCCAGAGTGACCTTTTATTTCTTCTCTTTGAGCATACTTGTCTTTTCTCTTTTGTTTTTGTTTTTATTTATTTTACTAGAGATGGGGTCTTGGCATGTTGCCTAGGCTGATTTCGAACTCCTGGCTTCAAGTGATCGTCGTGCCTCAGCCTCCCAAAGTCCTGGGATGACAGGCATGAGTCACTGCACCTGGCCAAGAGTATTTGTCTTCATACATGAAGGTAACTCAGTGAAATCTACAGGTCTGTAACGGACAACTTCCAAGGCAGATACACAACAGACACAGCCTTGTGAGCAGCCCTGTGGGCGGGCGGAACGTCATTAGGCATTTATTTCGTTTTCATGAGGCTTCAGGGAGGTCAGAGAGGAGAGCACCCGGTTAGTTCGGAGGCAGTGGTAGCTTTCCTGCTGGAATTCCAAGCCCTGGAATCCTCTTGTCTCCTGTGATTTTTCTCAGGGCCTGATGATCAGGGTTTCCAGTTCGAGTGCGGTCTTAGACAACTGTTTCCCCCTCGGGAAGCTTTTCCCACCATGACCACTCCATCAAAATCACCTGGCCCTGGATGAAATTCAGCTTTCTGTCCTCCCCCGGACTCCTGAATCCCAACTCCCAGCAGTGTTCACACGGACAGTGGGCACCAGCTAGGGGATTTTCACACAGGTGCGCTCCAGCCACCGCTCGGGCTTCACCTGCGCCCACTGTGCGGGGGCAGCTGTCCAGCGAGCAGGTATTTGCTCAGGTGGTGCAAACCTGCCACTCCTGTGTCATCTGGGGCTCCTGCCAAATTGGTGCAAATTCCGAGCCCCTGCCCTGAAGCGTCCGAACTGGAAGCTGTGGGGTGGGATGGAGGAACCTGCATTTTAATAGATTCTTTAACCAATGTGTGCAAAAAGGGCAGAAGAGTGTGAAATCAATGGAAACAACCTCTTCCCTCATCCCGGTATCTGTCAGCCCAGGTGACGCTGCATTCCGGGCCGGGTGCTGAGTTTGGGCCAATAAATGCATTTACTCTCTGCCTGGCACAAGGGCTCACACCTGTAATCCCAGCACTTTGGGAGATCGAGGTGGGAGGATCGCTTGAGGCCAGAAGTTCCAGGCCAGTCTGAGCAACATAGGGAGATCCCAAATCCACAAAAAGTTGTTGAAAATTTAAAATAAAATTAACACGTTTACTTTTGGCCCCATGCGGAACGGTGTTTACGGTGGGCGCCGGGCGCAGGCGACGGGACAACGAAGCTGCCGCCGGCCGCTAGAGGCCCTGACAGCGCCAGGTGCGCGCCCACGGGCGGGGCGGGGCCTGTCACGGGCCGGGGCGGGGCCGGCGCTCAGCCTCACTCGGACTCGCCAATCCGCGGGCTCCTAGCGACCGTGGTCTCGCGTTCCTATAGGCTGGCGCAGGCCGTCTTCCGGTCGGGGCGGGCTCTCGCTGTGGCGGGAAAACGGCGGCCGCGGCACCACCTCCGGGACGTAGAGGGGCCAGAAAAGCCCGTGAGGCCCTGGCTGGCTACTCGCGGTGCCATGGACGCGGCCGAGGTGGAGTTCCTGGCCGAGAAGGAGCTGGTTACCATCATCCCCAACTTCAGCCTGGACAAGATCTACCTCATCGGGGTGAGGCCCGGGCTCACCGTGGGACGCGGGGCGGGCGTGGCCGGGGCTTCCGCGCGGCTTTCTGAGCTGGGGTCGCGGGCTCGCCCTGCTCCCGTTTCCGCGGAAGCCGCCGCTCGGGGCTGCACTCGGGCACCGCCGTTGCCGCTTCGCGAACGAGGAAAACGAGGCTGTACGCCATTGCCAGTGGCCCCGAGCGCCCGGCTTTACGGGGTTTTTGTTTGGTTTGCTTTGGCTTTTGAGACCGTCTCTCTCTGTCTCCCAAGTTGGGGTGCAGCGGCGCGATCTCGGCTCACCGCAACCTCCGCCCCCCGGGTTCAAGCGATTCTCCTGCCTCAGTGTCCCGAGTAGCTGAGGTTACAGGCATGCGCCGCCACACCTGGCTAGTTTTTGCTTTTTTGGTGGAGACGGGGTTTCGCCATGTTGGCCAGGCTGGTCTCGAACTCCTGACCTCAGGTGATCCACCTGCTTCGGCCTCTCAAAGTGCTGGGATTCCAGGCCTGATCCACCGCAGCCAGCTACTTTATTGGGTAGAGCTGGGGTTCTCCCTGTGTTGCCCAGGCTCGCCTGGAACTCCCGGGCTCCCCGAGGCGACCCTCCCAAAGTGCTGGGATTATGGGCAAGAGTACGCTTTGCGTTTGCTTGTTTTTGTCTTTATTTTTTGAGACAGAGTCTTGCTCTGTCGCCCAGGCTGGAGTGCAATGGTTCGATCTCAGCTGACTGCAACCTCCGCCTCCCGGGTTCAGGTGATTCTCCTGCCCAGCAGCTGAGATGACAGGTGTGAGCCACTGCACCTGCCCAGCTTTGTGTTTTAAGTATAAAGGAGGCGCCGGGGTGCTGAGAGTCTAGAGAAGGAGTACCTGCCCGCACTCACCTCCGGGCACCCGGGACGCCAGCACTGGGTGTGTGAAGCCTGTTCTTGAGTTGCAGGGTGCAGGCGGGAGAAGGAGAGGGGAGCGCCCCCGCCCGCTCAGGGGGACCTTGCATGACTGCGCCCCAGCTCGCAGGTGTCTCGGAGCTGCTTAGCAGGGGCTTTGTTGTGAGTCTGAGAACAGCTGGGCTCTTGTTTTTATTTGCGTTTGCACTTCAGCTTCTGCGATGGCCGTTTGATACAGTGACACACAGTAATGGTTTTTGTTCTTTTTTAATCTTACGGGGAATTGTTTTACTTTTGACAGGGGGATCTGGGGCCTTTTAACCCAGGTTTACCAGTGGAAGTGCCCTTGTGGCTGGCAATTAACCTGAAACAAAGACAGAAATGTCGGCTGCTCCCTCCGGAGTGGATGGACGTGGGTAAGGATGCGTGAGAGACGCGTGCGTGGCGCTGGGTTGGGGTCATGCCCTCTCCCACGGGTGGAGGCATGGGGCCTCCTTCCTAAGTCTGGGCTCCCTGTGCTCCATTATCCACTGAGCAGCTGAAAAGAGTACTTCCAGATTCACCTCTCAGCAGAGTCTAACCACTGTTACTAACATGTTAGGTTTTGGGATTTGTGAAAATTGTAGTTTACTTTTTCAGACAGGGTCTAATTCCATCGCCCAGGCTGGAAAGCAATAGTGCTATCTTGGCTTCCTGCAGCCTTTATCTCCTTGTCCAAGTGATCCTCACACCTCGGCCTCCCAAGTAGCAGGGACCACTGGTGTGCTCACCACACCCTGCTAACTTTTGCGTTTTTGTAGAGACGGGGTTTTGCCATGTTGCCCAGGCCGGTCTCAAACTCCTGGGGTGAAGCGAACTGGCCGCCTTGGCAGATCTGCTGGGATTACAGGCGTGAGCCACTGTGTCCAGCCTATATTTTAATCTAAGATATTTCAATTTGCTTTAAAATAAATGACTTAAAGAAGCACTGGTTTTAAAGTTTTAAAATTAAGTATAGATTAGCCTGTAGAGAAGCAGAGTAGTTATAGAGAATGCCTGAAAATACTACATCACAATAGGGTTGAATAAGATTCAGCTATAAAAGGCTGAAATTGTGACACAGCCTGCTGCGTGGATGAACCTTCAGCTTCTTGTTGAACGAAAGAAACTGGGCACGAAGACTACACGTGGCATCATCACGTTTATATGAGCTGTCTGCAGTAGACAAATCAATAGAGACGGTATGGATGAGTAGTTGCTTAGGGATGTGAGTGTTGGGGGTGAGGGAGGAATCGTGGAGTTTGTTTTTGGCACGATGAAAATTGGGATAGATTGAGGTAGTGATTGCACAGGTCTGAATGCACGAAATACCATGGACTTGTACCATGATATTTGTTGTGGTTCCTGAGATGGAGTCTTGCTCTGTCACCCAGGCATCTCCGATCACTGCAACCTCTGCCTCCTGCGTTCAGGTGATTCTCATGTCTCAGCCTCCCGGGTAGCTGGTATTACAGGCGCATACCACCACACCGGGCTAATTCTTGTGTTTTTAGTAGAGATGGGGTTTCACTATGTTGGCCAGACTGGTCTCGCACTTGTGACTTTGTGATCTGCCTGCCTCGGCCTCCCAAAGTACTGGGATGACAGGCGTGAGTTACCACGCCTGGCCCCATACACTGCGTTTTTAATACTCCATAGTTCTACTAAAACTTACATACTTTAAATGGCTGAATTGTGTGATACATTAATTATGGCTCAATAAAGCTGCTAGGAAAAAAAGATGCAGACATTTTTTGTTCTGAGCCTTTGCAACCTTTTTCCTCTTTTGGAGATGAGTAGCTCATTATAGGGAAAAAATTTTAATTTTACTATTTTTTTGTGGGAAAGGGATATAGTCATGTGGGATTTGAAAAGACCCTGAATGATTTTTTTTCTTTTTTCTTTTTGTGTCAATGGGGTCTCAGCCCTGAGTGATTTTTGACTGCCCCTCCTTACTGGGAATCACTGGGGGTACCTCCCTCCTAGAAGCAAGAACTCATTGAGCTAGCCACTCTCGGGTTTGTTTAAGACAGACTGCTTGGTGTATCTGGGGTGCAGTGGTACAATCATGGCTCACTGCAGCCCTTCCCATGTCAAGTCATCCTACTGCTTCAGCCTCCTGAGTAGCTGGGACTACAGGTGTATACCACCATGACAGATTGACTGACTGACTGATTGATTGATGGAGATGGGGTACTTGCTATGTTGCCCAGGCTGATCTCAAACTCCTGGACTGGAGCAGTCCTCATAGAGTGCTGGGATTACAGGTGTGGGTTGTTGCCTCTGGCCTGAAGGCTTTTTTTTTTTTTTTTTTTTAGGCAGAGAGATCCACGAGGCCTGGCTCCATTAGTGCAGCATCCTCTCCTCTCTAGGCCCCTTATTTAAAATCAGTCTCTGGCAATTTGGGCCCACTCAGACCTGAGGTGATACATGGTAAGGGCCTGTCTCATCGCAGGCTAGAGTCAGAAGGTGTGGAGAGCTCTCCTTGAGTTTTCTCCCTGGGCTGGAGCTGTTTCGTGGGAACAGTGAGGCACCACTAGCCAGTTGGTAGACCCTATATATATATATGCCAGCAGCCTGCTGCCTCTGACTTCTCCACCATAGATAAGTTCTGCCGCTTCTGGGACTGCATACAAATGGAATAATCTAGCATGTTGTTTCTGACCTCCTACCCAGCGGCGTTTCTGAGATTCACTGATGGCTGCCTGTATCTTTTTTGTTTTTTTTCCAGACAGAGTTTCGCTGTTATCCAGACTGGAGTGCAATGGCAAGATCTCGGCTCACTGCAACCTCCGCCTTCTGGGTTCAAGCAATTCTCTTGCCTCAGCCTCCTGAGTAGCTGGGACTACAAGCGTGCACCACCATGCCCAGCTAATTTTTAGTAGAGATGGAGTTTCACCTTGTTGACCAGGATGGTCTCGATCTCTTGACCTTGTGATCCACCCGCCTCAGCCTCCCAAAGTGCTGGGATTATAGGCGTGAACCACCGCCCCCGGCCTGCCTGTATCATTACGTACCTCCATTGCTGGGTATTCTCCATCATATGAGAATACCACATATTTGTTCACCCATTCTGTTGGTAAATATTTGGGATTCCCATTTTTGGCTTTTAAAAAATTAGAAGCCAGGTGTGATGGTGCACGCCTGTAATCCCAGCACTCTGGGAAACCAAGGCGGGTGGATCACCTGAGGTCAGGAGGTCGAGACCAGCCTGACCCGGTAAAACCCCGTCTCTACTAAATACAAAAAAAAAAAAAAAAAAAAATGGCTGGGCGTGGTGGCACATGCCTGTAATCTAAGCTACTTGGGAGGCGGAGACAGGAGAAGCACTTGAACCTGGGAGGCAGAATTGCACAACTGAGATTGTGCCATTGCACTCCAGCCTGGGTAATGAGCAAAACTGCGTTGAAAAATAAAGAAATAAAAATACGTAAATAAGAGACTGGTTTCTCTCTGTTGCCCAGGCTGGAGTGCAGTGGTTGTACATAGGTGTGAGCGTGGTATGATTACTGCAGCCTCCAACTCTTGGCTTCATCGATCCTCCTGCCTCAGCCTCCCTTGTAGCTGGGACTACAGGTATGCACCACTGTGCCCGGCTCACTTTTAGCTTTTCAGACAGTCTCTCTCCGATGCCCAGGCTGGAGGGCAGTGGTGTGATCATGGCTCAGTGCAGCCTCCACCTCCTGGGCTCAGTTGATTCTCCCATTCAGCTTCTCAAGTAGCTGGGGCTACAGGTGTATACCATTACACCCAGCTAATGTTTGTCTCAACAGTTGCCCAGACTGGTTTTGAACTCCTGGGCTCCCACCTCGGCTGCCCAGAGTGCTGGGATTACAAGTGTGAGGCACTGCGCCTGGCTCATTTTTCACTATTCTTAAGGCTTTTGTGAATATTCTTGTCCAAGGCTTTTCATGGATACATTTTTTCCCCTTGGGTAAACAAATACGTAGTAGGACGGACTTGCTGGCTCTTAGGACAGGTAATGCTCAGCTTTGAAAGAAACTGCCACCTGGTCCTCCAGAGCAGCCAAGCCTTTACCCTACAAGAAATGTATATGAGTTCCCGTTGTTCCATGTCCTGGCCAAAAATTTTGATTGTGTCTTTTTGACTTGCTAGAAAGTTGGACCAGGGGTGTTTGATAAGCTGACTGAGATGTTAGTGAAAGGGGACTGTGCTGTGTAGAGAAGGTCGGCGTGATGGGAGTGGAGCAGGGATTCATCCCAGAAGCACTGAGTAGCCTCTAGCTGATGGAGGTGGGAGACCTGGTGGGTGTGTAGACATGTTTTGAAGGCAGAAGCACCCAGATTGACTGAAGGACTAGCCGTGGGGTGTGAGGGAGAAGAGTGAAAGCTGATAGGCTGTTGGCTTGAGGCCCAGAAGGAGACGGAGTTGCTGTGTCCTGAGGTGGGAGGCTGTGGGAGCAGGGCGTGGGCTGCAGCGGGTACCAGGAGTTGTGGTGTGAACTGTTGTGCTTTTTGGGTATTCAGGGGGAAGTTACAGCAGTGATGAGGTACTGAGTCAGGAGTTAGGACTTGCGGCTGATGGGGGCGTACATTGGGAGGTCTTTCTGAGCACGAGGTGATATTTGGACATGAGGTAGTGGAGAAAGGGGTTGGGAGCTGAGCTCTGTACCGGTGTCGAGAGGTCAAGAGGAATTGGCAAGTGACAAGAAGGGGAACCTACTGAGGTCAGAAGAAAGCTCAGAGGGGTGTCCTGGTACCTGGAGAGGGATTTGGATGAGGGAGGGCCTTCTTTGTAAGGCAGGAGATGTTAGTGTGTTTGCGAGGAGGGTCAAGCAGGGAGGGGACAGTGGCCATCTGAGACAATCAGAGCTGCTGGAGTGCCTTCCTGTGCAGGTGAGAGGAGGGCCCCAGGACTCCTGGAAAGCTGGTCCTCTAGTGGGTGGGAGCTACGAAGGGAGGTTGGGGGGTGGGGTGGCATGTGGGTCACACTCAGCTGGGTGTCAGGGGTGAGGCAGTGCTGATGGAGGTGGACAGAGGGTGAGTGGACCGGGGAATTGGAGCAGGATTGCTGGGTAGCAGCAAGGGCCCTGGGGACGGGTAGCTGGCCCTTTATGCTGCTGTCCTGCAGCAGAGTTGTGTTGCATGCTTGTCCCTCAGCTACATTCCACAGTCCACACGCAGGACAGGTTTCTCCGCAGAGGGGGAAGGCTGAGGGAAATGGGCATGTGTGAGAACAGTGCTGGTAATGGTGGAATTGGACACAGCTGCTTGATTCTAGCTGCTGGGCTTTAACAACTCTAGGATCTTATGCCTCCTCCTGGGGTGGCTTCACTGCCCCCCGCCCGCCCCCCCCACCCACTGCAGGATGTTGTATCACGCCCGGGTCTGGGTGGCTCTAGTTTTGTAAGCTGTCTTGCTCTTTCTGAGTGAGGCTTAGTATAAATAAAGTCACTGACTACTTTGATTACTTACTGCATGAAAGGTAAAGTACTGACCAGGTATAGACCCACTCCTGTAATGCCAGCACTGTGAGAGGCTGAGGCAGGAAGATGACTAAGGTAAAGTACTGACCAGGTATAGTGACCCACTCCTGTAATGCCAGCACTGTGAGAGGCTGAGGCAGGAAGATGACTAAGGGAAAGTACTGACCAGGTATAGTGACCCACTCCTGTAATGCCAGCACTGTGAGAGGCTGAGGCAGGAAGATGACTAAGGGAAAGTACTGACCAGGTATAGTGACCCACTCCTGTAATGCCAGCACTGTGAGAGGCTGAGGCAGGAAGATGACTAAGGGAAAGTACTGACTAGGTATAGTGACCCACTCCTGTAATGCCAGCACTGTGAGAGGCTGAGGCAGGAAGATCACTAAGGTAAAGTACTGACCAGGTATAGACCCACTCCTGTAATGCCAGCGCTGTGAGAGGCTGAGGCAGGAAGATCACTAAGGTAAAGTACTGACCAGGTATAGACCCACTCCTGTAATGCCAGCACTGTGAGAGGCTGAGGCAGGAAGATCACTAAGGGAAAGTACTGACTAGGTATAGTGACCCACTCCTGTAATGCCAGCACTGTGAGAGGCTGAGGCAGGAAGATCACTAAGGTAAAGTACTGACCAGGTATAGACCCACTCCTGTAATGCCAGCACTGTGAGAGGCTGAGGCAGGAAGATCACTAAGGTAAAGTACTGACCAGGTATAGACCCACTCCTGTAATGCCAGCACTGTGAGAGGCTGAGGCAGGAAAATCACTTGAGCTCAGGAGTTTGAGACCAGCCTGGGCAACACAGACCTTGTCTCGACAACAAATAAAAAAAAATTAGCCAGTTATGGTGGCATGCACCTGTGAGCTCAGCTACTCCCTGGGAGGCTGAGGCAGGAGGATTGTTTGAGTCCAGGAGGTTGAAGCTGCAGCGAGCTGCGATGGCACCACTGTACTCCAAGCCTGGGCCTCAGAGAGACCCTCTCTCAAAAAAACAAGTAACAGTAAAGGTAAAGTACTTTGTTTTTTCCCTTAAAAACCAAAACAAACATTGAGCTTTTGACTCTGACATTCTTTTTAGGGATATGCACTACAGGCCGAGGCAGCAAGAAAAATGTACCTTTCTTTTGGAGAGAGTTTCAGGGAGGTGATCTGGAATCATGTAGTTAATGAGGCAGATGTTTCCCAAAACATTTTTTCACATATTTGCTAGTGGATAATGTATTTGCTAGATAATGTAGGCCCTTGGCAAATGTGGCAGGTTTAATATCTTATTTATAATGATGGTAAAATGTATTAACTTCTGAATTTCAGAAAAGTTGGAGAAGATAAGGGATCATGAACGAAAGGAGGAAACTTTCACCCCAATGCCCAGCCCTTACTACATGGAACTTACCAAGCTGCTACTAAATCAGTAAGTGGGTACCCTGTCTTAGGGCCACACCCGAGGCTGGACTTACCATGCTCCTCCTCTCACCCTCACCTTTCCTCTCCGCTTATTGCCATAGAAAGTGGCAGCCGAGGCCCCGTTAGGTCCGTGACAGTGAGGTCATCTGTGTGTACACACCTGCCAGGCGTTCTCTGTCCATCGTGTCATTTCTCTGTTCTTTCCCTTTCTGTCTTATTTTTCTTTCTCCACCCCCCAGTGAAGCCCCTGGCTCTCTTTGTTCTGCCTCACGTCACCCTACCTTGGGCCAGCAGCATCCCGGCAGTAGCCGTCCTTAGTCACGTATGTGTTCTGTTTAGCACAGCTTCACTCTTGGTTTTCCTTGGAATATGTGGATTTGAGTTTTTGGGTGTCTTTCACAGGAAAGGCCAGAGGGCTCCCGTTTGCCTCTGCCCTTGAGTAACAGGCAAGCCCCCTGCCTGGCAAAATCATGATGTAGTAACCTGGTACTGGCTCCTGTCAGCCTCCCGTTCATTCCTCACATCACAGCCAGAGTGGCCTTTGAAAGGCAGAACTGCCATCTGACTCCCTGCTTAAAATCCTCAGTCTTCCAGGGTTCTGGTAAAGTCCTGTGCATGGCATTCTAGCAGTGTGTAGCCTGGTGCGTGCTCCTCCTTCCTCTTTGACCCCTCTCTGCGGCTCTTTCCTCTGCTTCTGGAGGGCTCAGGCTAACACTGGCCTGTGTCACTTCTCGTAGCATTCTGACTTTGCATGTACTGTTTTTTGCCCTGTGAGTCCGTCCTTTGCCTCTGCCTCTGGTCACCTCCTCAGGTTAGCGTTATATGTCTCTCCCAGGTTAAGTATACATGTTCTCTTGGCAGCTCTATATGTTACTATGGCATTTTCCAGTTGTGATTTTCTTGATTGGCTGTGCCATCACATGTACCCATTTTGAATGGGCAGGGGCTGGCTGCTGTATGCATATGTTCCCAGTGAGATGCCTGAGGCTCATGTTTGTTGAGTGAAAGAGTAAAACAGGTAAAGGCTGACAAGTGTGGATCATCTTGCTTGGGAGATATGTAGAATGGAATTGATACAAAGTAAACTTCTGAGGCTCCCCAAGCATCCTTGAGCTGGGTTCAGGAGCAGAGCTAGAATAAAAAATTGGGACCCTAGTACTACTGCATGTTGCAGAGCAGTGGGAAGGGCCAGGCTCACTGAATGGCACTGCTGAGTCTAAAGGAAAACTTGAGGTATGCAACATGGGCTTGTGTGTAGCCAGCCATGCATTTCATAAAAACTGAGAACCAGCAATGCACCAAGAATTCAACTCAGCAGTGGAATTTGTCCTGTAGGTCTGGTTCCTGGTGTGATGTGGGTTCCTGGTGGCGATGTAGGTCTGTGAACCCACAGTGAACCTTCATCTCGAAAGTCCATCGGGCCGAAACAAGGCCAGGTTGTGGCAGAGAAGGCTTCATAGAGTTTTGCCGGGACCACAGATCTGCAGGGGTAGATGGGAGGGAAGAGGGCGGTGAGGCAGGAGGAGCTGATGAATGTTGAAGGCACAGAGTGTGAAGGGGTCTAGGATGTAGCCAGGCAAGCAGAGGTGTTTGAGCATGTTGAGTCCATTCGTGGGAGCAGGGGAGAGGAGCCCTAGATTCTCCTGCCATGGCCAGCCTCTGGGAGGGGCGTGCCGCCTCAGAGGGACTTGAGAGATTGCAGTGGCAGTGGGGATAGTAGCTGGAAGTTAGAGGATCTATCACCAGACTAGGGAAGAATTTGCCATTAGCTAGGTGAGGGGGCCTATTCCTTTTCCATTTTTGAAGCTAAATATATTATGTATACAGTCTTTATCAAAAACCTTGTTTAATAATTCATTCAGCTGAGGGACTTAATTTTATGTTTGTTCTGCAGTTCAGTTGACAAGGAGTTGGGGTCCTTTGTTTAACCTGCTGTTCAGAGCACAAGCTCTGAATGTCGGGGTTTATAAATGAAACTCACTACATAAATTTTGTGCCAGTGACTTGCCACCTAATGGTCGTGAGTTAATTGTAGCACATGGAGAGAGGATGTCCAGCATAGCGTGGAATGCCTAGTGATGAACAGTATTAGCTTCTGCTTTTATCTTGTAGTTTTTCTTCAGAGGTTCAAAGTGTTTCAGAAAGGGAGCCTGGACTTTGTGAAAGCCTTCCTTCAGCCCTTGCTGACTTTGAACTTCCAGCCAGAATTCTGCTGTGCGTAGGTGTGCTCACTGGATACTAATTTGCAGTTTCTTCTGTGAGTTTTGAAAGTTGGTTTTGTCTTTTCTGAAGAGCAGGAGAGCCCCTTCCCTTCAGGGCTTTGGTGAGGACAGAAATGCCAGGTAGTGCACTAAGCTGAGTACCTGGCCCAGAGCTGGTGTTTTCCTTCTCTGGACTGCGAGCCCTGGATTCCTCGTGGGGTATAGGGACCCTCCTCAACACTCGGTACATAAGGAGCAACAGAACTTGACCTTTGAGCCAGCCCTTGAAACCGATTCCTTGTAGATGGAGGCTATGCAGCAGGGAATGCTGTTCCTCTGAGAGGGAGGCTTCTGACTTAGAGCTGGTTCGCTACTCATTCTTAGGTAAACAGAGGTCCTGTTCAGCAGCCTAACACAGGGTGGTTAACGTGAGCAAAAGATACTCCATGTGGATCACTGCCAAGTGCCCTTGGCACCAAGCTTAACTGCTACACATCTTTACATCTTAGAATTGAAAACAAAGCAAAACAGAGCTTGTGGGTCTGGAATGGCCAGAGTATTTTGCCTGGAAAGAGCCACTCTGTCCAGCGCTGCCTCAGTTAATGGCGTGTTCCCTGACTGACTCTCCCCCTTGCTACTTCAGTGCTTCAGATAACATCCCGAAGGCAGATGAAATCCGGACCCTCGTCAAGGACATGTGGGACACTCGTATAGCCAAACTCCGAGTGTCTGCCGACAGCTTTGTGAGACAGCAGGAAGCACATGCCAAGGTAGGTGCCACCTTGCCTGACTGCTGGTGGCCTTGATGTTGCAGAATTTCACATGGCAGAATTTCTGAGGCTATCGCGGGCAGGCATTGCTAGCTGTGCTTTTTAAAAGGTTCATTGGTTTCTTATTTTTATTCGGTAGAGTTTGCCTTTTTCTCAAAATCAGAAACTCATTTGCCAGCTCTGTCTGTTTTCTGTTTTAGCTGGATAACTTGACCTTGATGGAGATCAACACCAGCGGGACTTTCCTCACACAAGCGCTGAACCACATGTACAAACTACGCACAAACCTCCAGCCTTCGGAGAGCACCCAGTCTCAGGACTTCTAGAGAAAGGCCTGGTGCAGGCGGCTCGCTGGGCATGTGAGTGCTCGGGACATGAGGTCCTTGTAGTTCCGGAGCGCTCTAGATGCTTTTGAATGCATGAAAAATGGGTGAAGGTGCAAGGAATGGAGTTGTGACATTGCTGGAGAAGCAACAAGTTTGTGATTTGTCCCTAAAACTTAGCTCCCTGGGACAGTCTTCAGTTCCACATCTGATTCTAGAAACTAGCTTTTCCGCTGCCGCGCCCCGCGCCCCTCCTCCCCCAGCTCCCTTGAGAAATTAAAAAGCTTTAGGCAAGTAAGTTATTTTCCCTATCAGAGTCACTTGGGTCTCCTGTGTAGAAACCGCCACACTTGGGTAAGTGTTCAGTGACTGTTAGGTGTAAATACAGCAGGAGCGGCCATGTGGCCAAGGGCTTTTTCCCCCCTTCTTGATCCTGATTTTTTTGGGCTAAATTTAGACTCTCCCACAGAAGTGGCTCCCAGAGGATGGCAGATGGTTCAGCTAAGGATGCTGACCGCAGTGAGCCCGGACCCACAATAAAAATGGACTCGGCTCTGACTCTTAAGTTTGTAACTACCAAGTCAAAGGACTGAGCCCTGTGGCTGAGGTGACCCCGTCAGCTAAACTGAGGTGCACAGCAGTCCACTGGAAACTGCAAACCAACACCTGGGTGTCTCGTGCTCTGGGCTGTGTGTGGCTCAGGTTAAGAGAAGAGTCGGGAAAATACAATCTGATGTATTAAGCACAAGTGACATTTAAGACGATGCTAGAAGAAAAGCAGACTTTTTTTTGTTTTGTTTTGAGACGGAGTTTAGCTCTTGTCACCCAGGCTGGAGTGCAACGGTGCGATCTTGGCTCACCGCAACCTCCGCCTCCTGGGTTCAGGCAATTCTCCTGCCTCAGCCTCCTGAGTAGCTGGGATTATAGGCACGCGCCACCATGCCCAGCTAATTTTTTGTATTTTTAGTAGAGATGGGGTTTCACCATGTTGACCAGGATGGTCTCGATCTGTTGACCTCGTGATCCACCTGCCTCGGCCTCCCAAAGTGCTGGGATCACAGGCTTGAGCCACCTCGCCCAGCCCGAAAAGCACTTTTAACGCTGTTTTTCATGGACTTAGGACTTTTTTTTAAAGACGGAGTCCTGCAGTGGTGCAATCTCACCTCACTGCAACCTCTATCTCCAGTGTTCAAGTGCTTCTCTGCCTCAGCCTCCTGAGTAGCTGGGATTACAGGTGGTGTCCAGCTGATTTTTTTTGTATTTTTAGTAGAGATGGGGTTTCACCATTTTGGCCAGGCTAGTCTACAACTCCTGACCTTGTGACCCACCTGCCTCGGCCCCCCAAAGTGCTAGGGTTATAGGTGTGAGCCACCATGCTGGGCCAGGAAAGGACTCTTTGTTGTAGGTAACCGTGGGCTCAGGGAAAATTAACATGATTTGTAGCATTTTGGAACTGCTAGGTCCTTTGTAGACATGACATTACCTTGAGGTGAAGTTGTCCAGCATCGTGCAATGGATAGAAGTTTCTGTAACTGGCTTGGAAAGACTTTCAGACAGGGTCTCGTTTTTTTACCCAGGCTGCAGTACAGTGGCGTGATCGTAGCTAACTGCAGCTTCGAATTCCTGGTCTTAAGCAATCCTCCCCCCTCAGCCTCCCAAAGCACTGGGGTCCTAAGCAAGTGACCATGCCTGGCTTATTTTTGGCTGGGTGGTGTCTGGAGAGCTCTGAGAACGCACACGTGTGACAGGCTGAGCCTAAAGACGAGCACCCAGGGTCTGCCCTCTTGCGGTGTAGTTTGCCTGTGTACTACTGCTCCATGTTGTTTCATGTGGCCCTGCCAGGCAGGTATTGGTTGGTATTCGGACCCTGAAGGGTCAGACCTGGAAGAGTGGGGGACCAGAAGATGAGGTCTCCATAACTTTAGGTGCTATTCAGCGTTCCTTCAGGTCATAGGACTTGTTTCATCTCACCCTTCCTCGGAATCCTCCAGCTTTCACCTGGAAATGACACCACTTGTGGAGGGCAAGGGACCCTAATGCCCTGCTTTTGGAGGCAGTCTGCGCGTTTTAGCTGTGGAGCTTTTTATTGTTTGGCCTTGTTTTATTATATCATAAAAGAGATTTGCCTCTTAACATGATTTAGGAAGATTTTATTTTTTGGATGTCAGAAATTACAGCAATATATTCATAAATACCTAATTACTACATTCAACAAATAATATTACAATACAATTAATTCAAACAAGTACACTTAGAACAGGTTTAATTTCACAGCATCTAGACTGCCCCCAGAGTGACCGAGGCACCGGTGGCCTCCCTCCCACCTGTGTATGGGTTTACTGTTCTAGAATTAAGCACAGGGTACGTACAAAACACCACCAATGAGCATGGTCTTCCTCAGGTCAAGGCAGAGTTTAAGGAGTTTTCTAGGTTAAGCACTGCATTGAAACTTGGGGAGAGGCTACTGCAAGTATTAAGAAAGCCAACAGCTTGGTTACTTGAAAGAGTATAGAGACTGCTAAGTGGCTAATACAGTTTAAAGAGGAGCAGAATCGGTTGTGCTGACCATCTCCATCTTGTGGTGGATCCCTGGAATTTTCTACACTTGTGTGAAACGTGTGGTTCAGGGAAAGGGGAGTATCTGGTTTGAAATTCAGCTTAATTTTTGAGATTTGGCAGTATTATGAGCTACCTGAAGAAAATACCATTCTGCTACAAACTGGACTCCCTGTGTCAGAACCCTTTGCTGTTGCAGGTGTGGGCTCCTTTAGATACTCTGAATTCTCTTATGGGTGCAACCTATGCAGATGTTAGTGCCAATTCAGTGTGTTGTTCCTTTAAGCTTAGAATATAGACAGTGTGGATAATACTGGCTGTCGCCTATCTGAGACATTGGCTTTTATGTCAATCTGGCTCTGATTATATGAAACAAAGAATAATAAATTGTTTCAATGAGAAACCAGATAATTTACTATTAAAAGGTATCCCTCTGTGGAGGATAGATGGCAGTTCCCTTCCAGGTAATATAGGAAGATGGTCAAAGGGACCAAGCTGAGGGCTTCATGGATAGCCTGACACCCAAGTGGCATAATCCTCTCTGGAGTGGACAAAAAGCTTCAGAGATTGCATCTCAATTTTTAAGCCCGACTGAAAAGAGATTTAGATGCAACTGTGTTGAGAATCATCTGAAAGTAAGTTTGCGAAGTATGAAAGGAATTGTCGGATGGGAGAACCATGACCGGGTGCTGTCTTAGTGGTGTGCTTTCATTTTTGAGAGATGCTTCTTACCTTTTTCTTAGTTTGTGTTGTCTTACTGGTTTGTATTCTGATTGTCGTATTACTTAGGAGTACTTGGAGATCACCACAGTAGGTGGAAGGATGGGGAGATAGGAGAGAAGCTCAAGGGCTGGGCAGAAAGCAGCTATTGCTAACTACAGGGACATGGCTCCCCTCCCCGGGCAGACCTCTGAGTGTGCCACCTGTCCCCTGTGCCGTCACAGAAAAGCCAACCAAGGGAGTGCTCCTTGGATGGTAAGGGATGGGCTGTGTTTTTAAGTTGGCAGATCTCTTTCCCTTTTACTTCAGCCAAGGCCCTTACCAAAGCCAAGCAGCAAAAGCATCAGACGCCTGTGATGGAGGCGGCGGCCTGAGCGGAAGTGCTAGCTGTGACTCCTAAGCCTTGTTTTCAGTGGAGAAATCCAGTGAGATTTTGTCCTGATTGTTGGTAGGGGACTCCCTCTGAACACCTGTGGAACATGCTGACCTCCCCGTGTCTTTTGGTGGGGGAGGCCTGTAGCACAGCCCCCCGAGTTCTCTTCCAGCTGCTTCTGTGGAGAGCAAGGCGCTTGCTGACTGCTGATAATACTGGTGGTACATTTATCTGAGTTTGCTAATAACTGGAAGATTCTTGGCAGACTTACAAAGCAAACTGTGGGGGCAGATAAAGTGACAGGCTGCCAGCTGCCAGCAAGCTGTTCTGCACAGCAAGGGCTGGGGCCAAGGGCTTGGCTGCTGGTCTCAGCAGTGAGCAGTCTGCACACAAGTCAGGCACTGCCCGGAGCTCAGGACTCCCAGGTGACCAGTCAGTGGGGGCCCTGGCCTCTGGTGAGGGCCCATGGGAGCAAGAGATGCCTTTGTGATCTCAACACTACCACCACAAGCAGCACCTGCAAGGAGGACGCGCCTAGTGCTCTGCCTTGGTGTGAGGAGCCCAGTTTCTGGCTGTTCTGTGCTTGTCACAGGAAGTTCAAAAAGGAGGGGTTCAGCTCAGACCTTGTTTGCCCTACTTTAGGCTTTTACAAAGCTTTGCATTTAAAGCCTCTGAAGTTCCTATTCTGTACCTGCTCTCAGACACCTTAGACTTTTATCGCAGAAATCATTTCGTTTCTGGAAGGCTTTTAAAAGCCCCCGCCCATGTGTGCACATGGTTGTCACACGCAGGTCCTACACATCACCCCTCCTCCCTTGATAGCAATGGGCGATACTAGCTTGTCCTGATGCTGGGGGTGGGGAAGGGGGAGTGGAGGAGGTAAGCAGCACCCCATGGCTTTCTACGGTAGCTTCTGGTGCAACCCAAGCTAAAAATGAAGTGATCGCATAGGCGCCAGTGGTAAGCTCTTTTACTTTTCTTCTTCTTTAATTTTTAAAAACACTTCAATATTTTAACGTCCTGACCAGCAGCAGTACAAACACTAAAAGCAAGGGGTTTTTTTTTTTGCCCAAAAAAAAAAAAACAAACAAAACCCCCAACAGGAAAAACAAACAAAAATCCCCCAAACCACATATTAAAAATGGCAGGCTTTTTATAACAATAAAGTAATAAAAACATACAAAACTTTGTTTTTTAATATATATACACAGTACAAGGCTGAAGCACCTTTGACTTTTCTCTCAAAATTGACGTCTGTATGAAAACCCCACCCCCTGTAGTAACAATCTGGTGGGTGTGAAGCTGTGTATCCACAGAGCTCTGTACATGCTCCCCACGGAGTAATAAAAAGGTACCTTCAGTTTGTGAATTCATTTTCTCTTTAGGTAAGAGCTTTTCCAGGGAAAAGCCTTTGTGTGCTCCTAGGACTTGTTGCTTTGAAGAAAATTTTGCAGGAAAGTAAATGAAACAAATAAGCCCTTTTTACTTACAATGCGCCCAACCTTCTTTTCAGTGGAGCAAGTTTCACTCCTGGGGAGGAATGAGACTGACCCCATCGCTGCCGCAGAAGCAGACTTGGCTTGAGGCATAGTAACATGGCAACACAAGAACGAACAGAACCGGTGTGACCCGCTCATGTGCACGGGGGCTGGAAATCAAAGTTTTAGTGTTGGTAATGGAGCCTTCATATTCAGACTAAAAAACAATGTGGGAGAGGAAGAACTAAAACCACCTGTAAAGGAACTATGGCATCCTACATTGGTTGCTCGCTGAATGACAAAGGTATTCAGTTGCATTGAAGTCAAGGTGAGTTCATTCTTTTTTTTTCTGGAGCCTGGAATCCTTTGCTTCATGCATGGCACATTCTCATTTTTTAAGCTTCAAACCTCCCAGTGAAAAATATTAAATATTCAAGGTAATAAAATAGATAATATTTCTATACTATAGGTTCGGCCTAGTGCAAGGGAAACCGTCACCTGGGGTATCCCTTCAGGTAGCCCCTAGGCCAGTGCATTGCAGGCAAGGCAAGGCACTTTCGTAAGTGGTCCAGTTCTGCCTGGAGCCGCTCGCGTTCTGAGACCATCTTCTGTTTCTGGCTCCTCAACTCCTGGAGAGAGGGAAATCTGTGTCAAAACCAACCCCTTTTTTCTGTAACAACAAGCAGGTGGTGGAAGGAAAGGCAATCCCGGTTAGAAAATGTCTTGGCTGGGCATGGTGGCTCCTGCCCTGAGGCGGGTGGATCACCTGGAGTGAGGAGATGGGGACACCAGCTTGGGCAACAGAGCAACACTTACAAACTCCCCCGCTCAGCCTATGTTCTCTGCTGAGCTCTTCTAGGGTCCTAGAGAATTGGTATCTGCTGCGGTCTTGGCTCAAACTTGGGAGTCCTTGGAACCCCCAGATGTAAAACCTTTGGAGGGATGGGGGACCTCTTTGCCCAACAAGGACCTCTGCTGGACCACTCCTGCTAGTGCGGCTGGGAGCTAATGGGTGCTGAGGTGGTTTCAGGTGATTCAGCTTTCCTTCTCTAAGACAGTTCCCTGCTGCCCTCCCCTAAAGTGCAAATCACAATAGGGGAGACTGGTACAGGCAATAATTCATTCTGGAAACAGCATCCCTACCCTTCCAAGATCAAGATGCTGTAAGTTAAAGGTATTTCCCTACTTATAGCTAAATCCTAGATAGTCAACTGCTGCCTGAATTTTCCCTTTAAAAAAAAAAAAAAATGGAAACAGTGCCGTTGCTCTGGTACCCGGGCTGGAGTGCAGTGGCAACTCCTGTGATCCTCCTGCCTCAGCCTCCCCAAGTGCTGGACTTACAGGAGTGAGCCATTGCACACAGTCCAAATTTTGCTCTCTTAAGAGCACATTACCTCTCTACACCACCTTCATGGGTGCTTTTGAACCCAAACTCAAAAGGCTGTGTGTTTTAAGATTTCTGTGCCTTCCCAACTCACCGCCACACTGTGGGAGAGTTGCTCTGCTGTCAGGCTGAGACTGTAGTGCCGGGCTTCCAGTCGTCTGCACTGCGTCTGCAACACCTGCCGCTCCAGATTTTGCTCTGAAAACACGAGAGATGGTGATGTGTCGTCTGCGTGCAGGGGCCCTAAGGCCTGGTGAGTGCTCTCCTCTTCCCACACTGCGCTGCAGTTCCCAAAGCCCCGGCTATCAGCCACAGTGGCCCCAGGCCTAATACATAAACATCACTAAATCAGATCCAACCTACGGGAATAAGGACAAAGGAGCCAGGACCTACAGGCAATTTGATACAGATTAGGAAGACATTTTACGGCCTTAAAATGCATCTTTAAAAAAAAGCAGGCTTTCAGTTTATTATGGCCTTTTCCCAACAGTCTAAACTTGGAGCAGAAACTGTTTTACTAAATAAATCTGTGTTCTATCAGAAGATACCAGGCCTAATTTTCGTAGAGTGACTCCCAACCTTTAAGTCCCTATTTTATGCAGAGTGTTTCAGAGACTAACTGCGAAGGTGACAACAGTCTGGACAACACAACAATAAAAGTAAAGACTGCAAATACAAATCCACCAAGGACAGAGCAACAGCCAGAAACCTGCGCACGGGCACCTTTACAGTTTCACAAATGGGGGCCCATCCGTGCCTGTCTTCGGCAGCACCAGCGTGACAAGACAAATTCAAAAGGGAAGAACCAGAACTTGTATTTGCAGAAGGTTTGATAAACTGTGATTCCTGTGATCTAAGGAATAACCATAGAGGAAAAAATCCTAAAGCTTTCTAAGCTACAGTGGTTTTTGGAAACAGTCCCCAAAACCTATGTGATAGCTGAAACGGAGTCTAGTCCCAAATGATCACAATGACTTCATAGTTTGGTACCATATCCCCAGACAAGGATGCCAAGATGCCACAAGTCCATAACTTCAGTGCGACTGAAAATCCTAACCGGACTCAGGGGGGAACAGAAGGCAATCCTAAAATCTCTGGGGGAAAGCCATGGCCCAAGACCTGAGGAACAGCAGCTTAGGAAATGTGTTCAGGGCAGGTCATGCCCCACCCGGAAGGTGTAGAACTCCTTGTCTGGGTGGGAAAGATGCAGTTAAAATTTCTACCGTCCTCTGTACACATGAATCTTACGCAGAACAGCCTTGGTGTGTGGAAAGAATTCTCAACACCACACCAAGAAACCCAAACCACCAGAAAAGATGGAAAGATTTCATCCCAGGAGAGTTAAAAATCACTCTGCATCTTGCTTCTGGATCGTTATAAAGAACAGCAATGTGCGGCCGGGCGCTGTGGCTCCTGCCTCTAATTCTGAGCATTTTGGGATGGCCAGATCACAAGGTCAGGAGTTTGAGACCAGCCTGGCCAACATCCTGAAACTCTCTACTAAAAACACAAAAATTAGCTGGGCATGGTGACTCATGAGTAATCCCAGCTACTCAGGAGGCTCGCTTGACCTGGGCAGCAGAAGTTGCAGTGAGCCAAGATCACGCCACTGTACTGCAGCCTTGGCTACAGAGCAAGACTCCATCTCAAAAAAAAAAAAAAAAAGAAAATTAGAAACCTGTAGGGAAGTAGTAGGTAATAAACTGGAAAGATTCCACGGGAGGAGGAAAGGAAGCCAAATACAGGATTTGCCCTGGTTGTGGCTACATGGGCATTTGTTTTTAGTTTGGAGAACACTTTTCCAAAGAAAACTACTTTTCAAAGTATGTGAAAAGGTTGACATTCACAATTAAGTCCTATTTACAACATTGTAACACGTGATGATAAAAAGTCATCTAGGATATGCTGATAAACCACTTGTAGGCGGCTGCCGAGTATGCCTCCTGCCTGGCTAAGGATTACTCGGGGGCCAGTGGGGACCAGTAACGTTTTCAGCTACCTTTAGCCAGGTGTTATGCCAGGGGAGACAGGCTCCTGGCAAAGGCTTAGTCGAAAGCCCACTGCCTCTCAAAATACCCAGAATGTTTTCATTCCCCCTGGGAATGTACAAGCCACCCCCCCCCCACCCCCCCGGAAGCCACAGCACCAGGCAGACTCCATCACATCTCCTCTGCCAGGGAACAGAATCATGAAACTGGCTGCTGCAGTTATACAGCAGCCCACCTCCAGCCTCTATGCCTCAGTTACCCGAGGATAGTGCCAAGGCCCATTTGGCTTGGCCCCCAGGTGCCCAGCCTTCATTTTGCACTCACCATCCTTACTGCATGGGCACTGCTGGGCAAGGGTGCAGCCACCTAGAAGTGGTTATAGGTGTGAGCCACCGTGCTGGGCCAGGCTCAGCAAATCAGCCAACTATGTCATTTGCCAGGGCCCTTACCTGAAGCTGAGGCCGACATCCACACTGTTGCTGGGTCTCCTAAAGCAGAGCCCACATGAAGAATGACAGGTGCCATGAAAATTGGCACCTTGGTGCTTGATGCCCCAGTAAGACTGGCCTCAGGTTCCACCATAGGGCATCACCACTACCAGAAGCCAGAGCAACCTTCTAGTATTTATATCTACTGTGCCTCAGGATGCAGGAACAGTCCTCAGGCTGGCAGAAGTCTGCATGAACTTGTCACCTTTCCAAAGGTCCTGTACCTCCTCCCCTCTTCCATACCAACCACATACCTTCTATGTGTTCCTGGTAAGCTTCAAAAACGGCCTCAATCCCTTGCCACTTGCGCCTGGGGGCTTCCTCATCCTCTTCTCCATCTTCATCCTCTTCCTCCTCCTCCTCCGAGTCCTGGTCCACCTCCTGCGTTGGGGGCCCCTTCCTTGAAGTGGGGGTCTCCTGCTGCCCATTGTGCTGGGGTGGACGGACGTGGCTGGAGGACTGCAGCTCGGGAATGTTGTAGTGGACAGACGCGTCTACCTTATGGTTCTGCTCTGCGGATAGCACAGCCACGCTCCCTGCAGAAGGGACAAGGCTTGCATCAGTGTGTTGGGGGTCACAGAGTGCTGTCTCAGAAGGCAGCTCTGCCTTTGCTGCAGAGTCAGCATGACTGCAGGTCTCCAGGGGCCAACATGACACTGTGCAAAGAGGAGGGAATCTAGCCAAAGGCCTCTGGGCCACAGACCCAGCGTGACAAGGTCTGAGACAGCCCAGCCCTGAGTACCAGCCGATCCTGGTACGTGGACCATTTTAATGAAATGCATCTCTGAGCCTCCATTTTTTTTTCTTGAGACAGAGTCTCACTGTGTCACCCAGGCTGCAGTACAGGACCTCCTGTGAATACCAAAAGCCAAGGATGTTCAAATCCCTAACAGAAAATGGCATAGTACCTGGACACAACGTAACACCCAGTATATACTGCCTACACTTGTACCTGGAGTACTTGTAATAATATATTGCCTGTACTTCACCTGATTTGCATGGATTCAATGTATTACTGGTGCTTGGCAAATCTGGAACATTGTGGAATTCCACCCCACCCACAAATATTTCTAATCTGAAGGTGGTTGAATCCAAACACATGGAACCCATGGATCCAGAGGGCTGGTGGTGACATCTTTGCATACCACCAGGAAGGAAGGGAATCTCTACCCTGAGGAGTAGCAGCCATCTGAATCTACCGAACATTCTGTCTTGAAAAACACGACTCTTTCAAATCAATGCTGGTAAAAATCCAATCACGCACTCTTCCTGCCTTTGGGGAACCTTTCTTAATCTCAGCAAAAACCAGTGCCTGCGGCTCTCCTCTCTTACCTCCTACGGATCGATGCACCCCTGCTCACAGCACAGCATCAGCGCTGGTACCTAAAAATGCTTTTCACCTACAAGTTCAGGTTTTAGAGTGTAGAGTAAAACAAACATGGTTTTGGCACGGTAACAACCTTATTTTCTTCTGGTGATTGCAGTTTATAAAAATTGGTACCCACAGCTGAGCAGCTGTGTCCGGCCTCAACCACAGGCAGGAGCTGAGTGAGGACTGGCAGCCTCATTACCTTTATGCTTCTGCAGGGCCTTCTGGGTGGACTGCAGCACTGACTCGTGGAACTGATGGGCAAACTCTTCCGCCACAAAGGGCTCCCATGGCTTGCTCTTCCCGTTGGTGCTGTGGGACAGCGGCACAGGAATGTCCTTGGGTGCAGCGCCCCGGATGTAGTGAAGCATGCTCAGGTTCTTCTTGCCTCCAGGGCCCTCGCTTAGCCTGGCCCTCTCCGCACTGGCAGGAGCTAGCTCCTGGACTCTTGACAGCTCCTGGGGCCGGACCTGTTCCAGCTTCCCAGGCTCTGTGGCCTTTGGGACGTCAGACAAGGAAGCAGCAACACCAACCGGCTTCTCCACGTCCAGAGAGGCTTGCTGCGTGGCTGGTTCTTTTAGAGACAGAAAGCCAAGGAAAACATTAAGAGATGTAGGTTAACAGGCTGAGGGGCGAGCACACAGACCCTGGTCTCTAGAGCTTACTCTTAACAAGACCTAGTGCAAAGAACCAACACCCGGGGAACATGTACATAGCTGCTGTGCACGTGGCTCTGAAGATGGTGGCGTTTGGTTGCAAGTCCATCCTCGAAAGATAACTCAAGAAGTAAGAAACAGATCTGCAGGAAGAAGCAAGTCCCCCAGCCAGGGGACTTGCGGGGAGAGGGATTCACTCCAACCGGATGAGAGACTGCAAGTGGAGCCGAGAACCGGGATGAACTGTATAGATTCCCTGCGACTGGACAGGACAGAGGTCGCTCGACTAGAGATGTAAGAGGAGGAAAGCGGGCAGGAGGTGCCGGCAGGGTCCAGAGAGCAGAGAAAGACGAAGATGCAGGAGAGCCAGGGCAGGCAGGCCAGTGGCGGGACCAGGGCGCAGGCACGGAGCCTGGAGCACGCCCACCCTCCTGGGATGGGGCCACTGGAGTGGGCTCCATCTGAACTTCAGTGCTATAACTGAGGGACAGGTTACTACCACCACACTGGACCTCACACTGAGCTCCACAGAAGCTAGACCCTCCCTTAACTCTGAGCCTGCCTTCAAACTGATGTTCTGTCCCCAGGACCGTCACAACTGTGCAAGAATGGTACACTTGTGCAAGAAGAATGGCAGAAGACAGTCTGCAGGAGGCCATTTTCACAACGATGAGGACCTCAAGTGGTCGCCTCCAAGCTGGGGCAGCCCTCGGGATGATCCTAAGTGGTGGCAGGTGGGGCTATCCTTCCCTTACCACTCAGGGAGACGGCAGGACTGTCCCTCGGAGAGTTTGTCAAGGAGCCGGCCACTGCTGGTGACAGTGCCTTCTGCTTCATGGCACGGAGCATTTCAACAAGCCTCTCTTTGTCTATGGGAAAAGCAGCCTGAGATTAACGAGCCAGTTGCATCATTTTTTTTGGAGGGAAAGATGGTGGGATTCTAGCCTTGATGGGCAGGTAAAGCGCTAAAGCCAGAAAAACCAAAAGCAGATGTGACGAGGCAGGCCCGGTTTAAAAGAAGGCACCACATTACGGCGAGCCCAGACTAACACGCATCTACCACACAGAGTCTTAGACGTGCTCCAAAGACAGCTGTCTGTGCAGTGATTACACCTCTGTGAACACTGTGCCCACGGACCTCGGTGGTGATGTGTGGATATATTTTATTTCAAGTGAGAAAAGGTGGCCCCAACACCAGGAAATGCCCCAAAGGCCCAGGCCTGGCACTCAAGCACATCCTGGCTATCATACTGGCACTTCCTGAGAAGGAAAGATGACCCCATGCTGTTACACACAGCAGATTCCTGGTGTCACACAGCCCTTCTTGACTCTGACACTTAAGGGCTGCATTGCTCTGAATTTTTTTCCTCTAAAAATTCAGCCACATCAGAAGATGCTTTGTATCTAGGACTTTGGGTTGGCAAGCAACAAAGCACCAGCCCGGTAAGAGAAAGGAGAACGCCTCCTGACTGGCACAAAGCAGAAAGGGAACGGCTGCGCCCTGACAGACACCTTGAAGGAGCCAAAAGACCGAGAAGTAACTCTGCTTTCCTTTCACTTTCTCCCAGAGAGGCGGCCAGGGGTACCCTGAGGACTTGAAGGCTCGCCAAGGGGCAGGGCCAGGAACGTCATCATGCGGGCACCTAGCCAGCCTGCGTTGCAGGCCAAGGAAGCCAAAACACTAAGTGGGGGTTGTAGCCGCGTTGTCTCTTCTGCTGTGTGGACTCCAGCCCAGAGGATTTGTTCCCAACGTGGCCCTGTGTGGCCAGACTAACTGGAAGCATCTTTCAAGGCAAGCCATCTGCTCTGTGCGCTGCCCTGCCTGGCAGCTTCCCCAGGCCTTTGGCCACCAAGACAACGCCCAGCTGACCACCTAAGTAGTCCAGCAAGAGGAAAAGCCTGCAGCAAGATGAACCTGAACGCCTGGCACCTCCCCTCATGCCTTGTGCAGTCCCTGGCACACTTGGCTCAAAGAGCGCCTTCTCGGGCGCTGGGAGATGGATGAGTGACAAGGGTAGTACTCCGCTCAAGACGGTGGGGGTCTCCAAGCAAAGCCTGCCAGGTAAGGGCTGCTGTGGAGGGCTTCCGGGAGCTGGGAAGAGTGAAGGGGCAGCCTCCAGCCGAGTGATCCCAGATCCTGCCTGGTGTCTGCTGCTTCAGAAACCCACGCCCACCCCATTGAGCCCCCGCCTTCCTACCCGGGTGAGGCCCCACCTTTCCTCTTCTCAGCGCTAATGTGGGTCAGGTTGAAGATGGTCAGGAACTTCTTCTTCTCTTCGAAGTTGGGGCTGTTGTTCATCTCGTCAGGGCTGTAGCGGGTGGACAGCGCCAGTCTCGGCGAAGGCGTCTGCCGCTTGCTCTGAATTGTGGGGGGCGACGGGCTTCTCTCTCTCAACATCCGCCGCCGCTTCCTCCGCTTCTGGGCCACCAATTCCTCCTTCTGCTGTTGGGTGGTCAAGCCAAAAAGTTGCAAAAACTCTAGCTTCTAGATTGGGAAAGAAAACAAAGGAGTTGGAAGCCACTGGTAGTGGTATTCTTTCACTGTCCCGGGCCCCCTCCTGGGGTCCTCGAAGT